CATCTTTGGACACGTCATTCGCTGCCCAGCTAAGGCAAGTGTGCCCTGTGGGAAACACGAACAAGAATGCAGGGGCCAACTTGGACTCGTCTCCGTTTGTGTTCGACAACGCCTATTACAAATTGGTGCTCCAAGGGAAGAGCATTTTTTCCTCTGACCAGGCCCTGCTTGCTACTTCAAGGACTAAGGCATTGGTTGCGAAATTCGCGTCCTCTCAAAAGGAGTTCTATGAGGCGTTTGTGAAGTCCATGATCAAGATGAGTAGCATTAGTGGAGGTGGGAGTGAGATTAGGCTGGATTGTAGGGCTGTTAATTAATTTAATTTTGGTGTTTGGGTGTTTTGTAATGGTGATTCATTGTGTTTTTGTTTGTGTTTGCTTTGTTTGGTTAATCTTTTATTTTCCCTCTTCTAATGGGGGTTGAGGAGCTTTTGAATGGGGAAACATGTGAAATAAGGTTGTAATTTTGATTTAAATTTCCAGTATGATTCTTGAATGTTGTCAAATTATGAGACTAAGGGTACTTAAACTAAACTAAATCTATAATCTATAATCAATAATCTATTTATCTATAATCTTCAACACGAAAATTGGGTTCCTGCGTGCCGTCATTTTCTGCAAATTTTGGGATCTTTCCTTTAAGTCGTCTCTGAATATTTTTTTGTTAGATATCGCCGGGGTCGGATAGAAAATCGTCGTAATAGGGAGTGGAATTCGCCGTTTCAACTCGGAATTCACCGGTAGTCTTTTCAGAACAACTCGGCTTCATCTTCTTCTCGAAGTGAAGTTTTTTCTGTATGAGGTTTTGTTTGCTTTTAGCTTGGACTTTTTGGAGACGTGAACTCGACCTCATGTATGGAGTCTCATCGGTGCCACTCGATTTACCTTTATCAACCATACGCGGGTTTTTGGTTTTAGCCATACTTTTTTTCTTCTTAGGGTTTACTGAAACTTGAAAGCAAGTTGAAAATATTGGGACGGTGATGAGTATAATCGTCCTTAATATGAGAAATTAGTTTTGGTCAGACAAAATAACTCTCCATTGAATCCGATGTTCCCATAAATGAACTACAATTATTATTAAAATAACATTCTAATATGTTTGCAAAAGAAAAAAAAAAATGATAATTTTAGTTATTCTGCATAATATTTATTATGGGAGGTAAATATGTAATAAAAATATGGGGAATGTCCACTTTTGGTCCTCCATGTTTAGGGGTATCCAGACTGAGTCCCTATTATGTTTTGGTGTCCAATTTTAGTCCTTAAAACAAAAAAATGTAGTCCCTATAATTGGGAAAAATCCACTTTTAGTCCTCCATGTTTAGGGGTATCCAGACTTAATCCCTATTATGTTTTGATGCCCAATTTTAGTCCTTAAAAAATGTAGTCCCTTTACCTCAACTTATTTGAATTAACGGTCCATTTTTGCTCGACCGTTATGTTCTTTATTTTTTTAAAATTTGTTGACTAATGTCAACTTTGACCAAAGAGAAATAAAAGAAAATTTAAATGCTGAAAAAGTAAAATAAAAGACAGAAATAGTGAACTGCAGTGAAACAAAAAAAAAAAAAAAAAACCCTAACCGCCTAGGGACTAAATCCGATCAAATGGATGGAAATGGTGTGGTATTTTGTAGATGTGAGCTGGTTGCAAAGTTGACTACTTGCTGGAAGGATGATAATCTCGGGAGAGATTCTTGAGTTGCCCTATATATCCTGTAAGTACTTTCCGTGAACTTCAATTGAAATATGATAAGAAATGGTTAAAAAACAGAGGGTTGATAGGTGCAATTTTTTTCGATGGCATGACCCGAAAATGGGTGCAAGAGCATTAGCTGTGATTTCAGGCTTGCTCCGCAGCGCGAATGCTAGGGAAATAGAAATCAGACGAGCAAAAATTTTAATTTAATTTAGTGCAATTTCTTGTTTTAGTTTAATTTCTTATTAATATATTTTCAGCATTTAAATTTTCTTTTATTTTTCTTTGGTCAAAGTTGACATTAATCAACAAATTTTAACAAAAATAAAGAACATCACAGTCAAGCAAAAATGGACCGTTAATTCACAGAAATTGAGGTAAAGGGACTACATTTTTTTGTTTTATGGACTAAAATTGGGTACAAAAACATAATAGGGACTCACTTTTTTGTTGTAAGGACTAAAATTGGGCACCAAAACATAATACGGACTCATTTTTTTGTTTTAAGGACTAAAATTGGACACCAAAACATAATAGGGACTCAGTCTGGATACCCCCTAAACATGGAGGACCAAAAGTGGACTTTACCCTAAAAATATTATTGCAATAGTGGACCAAGTAATTTTCTCTATGTATAACCGTAATTTAACACATAAATTTTACTGGATTCTAGGGCGTGTTTGTATACAAATATATCCGTTCAAATGAGTTCTTTTATTTAACTAGATTAAACTTGGATAAATGTAGTGTAGCTCGTTGTTAGTCGAATTTTGACTTTATATTAAAATAATATTTAAAATAAAATAATTAAAGTTGTTTGATGTAACAATAAAAAAACATGATGGAAAGTGATTGTTAGTTAAAATTATATGAGCGGATAAATATTGAATTAGAATGTGTAAGGATAATTGATTGACATTATTTAATTATATATATATATATATATATATATATATATATTTTTATTTAGTACAAGAAAGGGGAGCGACGCTGACGCTATCGCTAATGCACAATCCGTCGAGGGTGGGACACCCCGACCAAATCATGCTGTAGCCACATTCCCGCCGCCGGTGGAGGACGCTCTAACCGGTACAGACCACCCGGGCCCTTAGCCGCCACAGCGGCCAAAAAATCCGCCACAAAATTGGTTTCACGATAACCATGATCGATCTCCACACTCCATAGACGACCGAGCAGCTTCTTAATGCCTCTAATAATACTCCAATGCGGCCCATTGTTATCCTCGCGGTGGACCATCTCGATAATCCCCTTGTTTCAACCTCCATTATTATTGTACGGGCCCCTATATCCCAGGCCAGCTGCAGACCCTGGAACAAACCCCATAATTCTGCCCCGACAATAGAGAATATTCCTATGTTCATCGTGAACCCACTGACCCAACACCCAAGATGATCCCGAATGACCCCCCCTGCATTGGCCATCCCCGTTGACGGGTTAAAACTACCATCTGTGTTCACCTTTAACACTCCCTCCGGCGGAAAAGCCCAAGATATCCAACGCGTTTCGCGCATGGCACTGGCACCAACCCGGTGGCTATCCATCAAAGCACCTCGGACTCTACCTGTATATGCTATAACCTCCCGGACCCGTTGGTCCAAAGTCGTGTTAGCCCCTTCAAACACCCTGCGGTTTTGCCAGCTCCACAACCGCCAAGCTATCACACCAAACAAAGTATCCCACTCGCCCATCTCCGAGTTGAAACACCCTATTAAATTCTGCGAAAGCCAACTCCGAAGATCCAGTGAGAAAACCCCCCGCCTTTGTTGCGCGGGACCAATCTTTTCCACGTCTCCCTCGCCGTGTTGCAATCACGGAGCACATGCAAGGTGGTCTCGATATCCTCTGCACATACCGGACAGGCAGAGCTAAGCGCCATATGCCGGCGCTGTCTCGTATCATTCGTCAGAAGACTCTCCCGTGCAGCGAGCCATAGGAAGAGTCGAACCCGCGTTGTGGTCCAACCCACCGCCAGATAGTCCGCCAAAGACCCTCCTCACCCCGAGCCGTAGGCTGTAGCAATGTCGAGTAGACAGACTTAGTTGAAAACTTGCCATCCGACGACCACCCCCAAAAGATCCCGCCAGCACTCCCAATTGCCTTCCGCGGAGGTGAAGCAGCTATTCGGAGGAGACATGTTGCCGGCAACATCCCTTGGAAGAGCTGCCAGTTCCACCGGCCATCCGACGCCACAAAAGCACACACCGGGCCATACAGAAGCTCCTACAGAATCGGGCTCGTCGCGTAGGTAACCAAAGGTGCAGGTAGACCAAGCCATCTATCCCACCAAAATCGCGTCTGCCGACCATTTCCCACAGTCCACCTAGTCCCCGCAACCGTCTCCTTCCAAACGTCCCGAATAGCTCGGAGGACTGTCGGACCCCGTGGGAACCCAAAGTCCTCCCCCATCTCCCGAGGCTTCAGCTTATACTTCCCCCGTAATACCCGACACCATAGCAAATCTGGTTTAGAGAGGAACGTCCAGGCCATCTTCATAAGCAGGGCTTTGTTCATCAGACGTTGCTCCTTCATCCCTAAACCCCCAGCCACCTTAGGTCGACAAACCTCAGACCAAGACACGAGACTAACCTTGCATGTTGATGTCGTCCCTCCACAAATAAAATTTCGACACTTCCTTTCGAGACTATCGCACACCCCATACGGCAACGAAACTGTTTACATTGAGAAATAAGGCCGGGAGTTTAAAGCCGACTGAGCAAGGGTGACCCGCCACGCCAAAGAAAACGACGAAGCCTTCCAACCCACGAGCCTCTTAGATTTTAAGCAGTGTTTTCCATACCGTACTGTACCGGCCGGTAATGCCGATAATACCGGATACCGGCCATTGGTACGGTACAATTGTATACAAAATACCGGATTTATGGTTATACCAGTTTGTACCGGGGTCTTACCGTAAATACCGAAAAAAACCGGTCCAAAATACCGGTCATCAAAAAAAAATTAAAAAAATTATAAAAAAGATTATTAATTTAAAAATATAAAATTTAAATTAATAGTTAGAATATTTTATTTTTATCTTATTGGTAAGTTAAAGTTAATGATTATAGTCATTTATTTTTTTACTTTTTTGCATTTGGTATAATACATTTATATATATAAATATATATATCATTATATTTGCTAATCCGGTAATACCACCGATATTACCGGTAATACCGTGTACCGGTGGCTAGACCGGTATGGCCACCGGTACGGTATTTAAAACACTGATTTTAAGTATGAATTGAGTATGAATTAAATTTATATGTATCCAAACATACCCTAGAAGTCCACAAACCGAATAACTACGCCGGAGAACAACCAGCCGGTGAGTCGAGACTTGAGAGCACTTAACAACAAATCAACAATGCAAGAGCAAAAATCCACTACTGACTCCGTTGCAATCGATCAAGAGAATCCTGATTCAGCTCTTCAATCTGACTCTTCTAAACTGAAATCAAAGATTGAAGAAAAACAGCAGGAAGAAGAACAAGTGGAAGAACGTGGTGAAGAAGATGAAGAATTGAGAAGGCTTTTGTTGCCTAACGCTCAGGATCTGCCCAAAACTCCTCCTTCTGCTGTTGAAGCCAATTTCACAACTTTTTTCGTTTCGGGTAAACTGAAAATTATTACATAATGGCACTCTGTTATTATAAAACTGAAAAAGGAAAATAAAATGACAATTTTCTACTGTCTTTCCCTTTTTTCGGCTGTTTGAAGTTTCCAGCCGAGAGGAAACATGGCATAATATGTGATATTTGTGTTAATTTTTTATTTTCAGATTTTATGAAGCCTGGACATGATCAGTATGTTCGTCGTCATGCCAATGGGTATCTTGTCAATTCTTCCTGCGAGACCTATTTTGATCATTTTGTTTACCAAATTCATTAAGATTCCAAAGCTATACATTTTTTTATTGGTTTTTATAATTGATAGGCTGTGTGTTATTGGTTTGGCTCCATCTCATGTGGCATTTAAGGACACAGGCGGAATTACTTCTGTAGATTTTAATGTGGGGAAGTCTGATAGGAGTGAGATTAAAGTTACTGGAAAGCGAAAAAAGGTAATTTTTGTTTTAGTTTCTGCAGGTTGTATTCATCAAATGAACAAGCTCATTGTTGGAGTTTATCTGTCTTTATGTATTCAAAATTATTCTTTTTTATTGTGCCTTATGCAGAATGCACAACACTTCGAATCTAATACTGCATTATGTAAAGTGTGCACTGGTGATGCTACTTACATAGTGAGGTCAGTAGTTTTGCCATTGTTGTTTCATATATGTGTCTTAGTTTCTCTATCTTACAGGTGGGT